CCATGTCTGCATTCGGAGGTCAATACCTTGAGTGTAGGTCATCAGCTCCTAAAACTATTGAGCGTCAACCCCTGCCAAGACGGTCGAGGGGTCTACTGGTGTTTCCCTAGTGGTGTTGGCTTGAGCGTCCTTTCCATTGTATGAAGCCATATTGATTGGCAAAGGAACTAGTATTGAAAGCGATGAGCGATGAAGGTGATTTTTCAATTGGTGCCTACAGACGATGCCAATTAATGGTGCTCAATCTGCTCAGGTCCTTGTGTGAGAGCAGATAGTGGTGTAAGCCCTACAAGAGAGGACATCAGAGAGCCTGGGTTGTGAGCCCAGGTGAGGAGGCTCCAATGGTCAAGTTAGTGCTGAGCTAAACGAACTGAAAGAGAGTTCTGAGTAGAGAGAGCAAATGTAAGCTAGAGTTGCTGTTAGAGAGTGTACTCTGTGAAAGCGAAGGTAGCCCCCCTTTTATAGAGATGGGTGGGGTAATTAAAGTACTTTCAAGATTCTCGGAAGTAATGGATTTTGGTCAACCGAATTCTTAGGGGCTCATGGGAGCATTCTCCGGATGAAAGGCTCCCCATTTCCCTAAGAAGCGGGGAGGCTCTTGTTGTTACCGTTAATCGCTTGACACATTCCCGAGGATTTCGAAGGTATTGAGTGCCTGGAAACGAATCCTTCTTACTGATGTGGTAGGTCAGTGTTATTCGGCCGAAGTGCCGATCTGATGCCTAGGCTGTGTGATGTTCCGAGGTGTTTGAGGTGGAACCGGGGTCTTGGTTGATTTGGTTCGACTGATGTTGACGACCTCCCAATATCGTTTGGGAATATACGTATGCGCCCAGATGATTCACATCCTATTGCTCCTACAAGTCCTGAAGCTTCCAAGATGACGTGGCATCGAGAGGTCAGTGGTTTCGCTCATCATCAAATCCAACAAATCCAATAGAGAAGATCTGGTAATCAAGACCCACGTGGCGGTCCTTATCATATTAACGTCAAAATCCAAAGCTGATAAAATCGTAATTCCTAAGTAATCAAGACCCACTGGATCCTTCTTCTCCCAAATTTGAGGCAATTGGGATTAAATATTGAAAAAAGGGTACTAAATTACAATTAAAAATTAATTATTGGGAATGCTTTGGTAAAAACGAAATTTCCTCCCTTCTTCTAACAGGGATCAAATAATGCAATTAATTAATCTAAAATTAGGAACAGATGTGTTAAAAAGAACAAGAGAAAACAGACAAAAAGTCTATTTATATAGCGTTAAATCAGTGACGAAATTAAATGGGGCCTTGCTTAAATCAGCCAGTTCGTCGCTCACTCCCAGGTTGTCGTTATTGCTTTGGGATGTATAAGTAAAAATATTTAAGTTCTGTTTGATTCATGGGAATAGGGATTTGAAATAGGAATCTAAATAGGCAGACTATTTTAATTTCATTATTTGGTTGGACAGAATTGAAATCTCATATACTCCGTGGAATGATATTTTCCCATTCTTTCACTTTTTTTGGAAATGAAATCTCATTCTAGTTAATTTTAAATCCTATTCTAATTCTTGTATGAATCAAACAAATTATGAGAATAAACCATTTTGATTTTTATTCCACTTCCAATTTTAACAGATTTTGATTCTGATTCTACTGTAAACCAAACGGACCGTTAATTACCTTAGATCCGGCCAGCCGCTGGCGTCCAACCAAGTGCTAGTGAAGTTGGCACCTCCCAGCTCATAACGGACAACCAATTTGGCATGACTTGTGACAGCCGCCCTCGTCGCCTTTCATGGCCCCACGTCACTTTTCGGCCTCTTCCACGATACATCTCCCCTGGTCACAACGCACAACTAACAAGTAAGAAGTGCTTCCGCCGTGGAAAATAGAAGCGAGAGAGTAGATAAGATTAAAAAAAAAGTCTTTACTACACGTGTTAAAAACAATTAAATAGATCGGGTTCCGTTTCCAACAATTAACCGTCCTTGTCTTTCGTCGAGGAATCAGGAGTGAACTGTTTTGGGGTGCCATTACAGGATTAGAATGGTTAGATCGGGTCAACTCAAGTCAAGATTGTGGTGGAAAGAAACTGACCCATGGTAATGAAGAGCTATACCGGGTCGGGTCTTAAGAGGTTAGTGGTGTTTGATGGGTTAATTCTCTGCACTAGTGCGCTGGTGATGAATTGGCTTTCACATTGTTTCTACCCTTTCTTCGGTGATGAACTGTTGGCACCAGTCCTATATTTTGTCTTTGTGGACCGAGGAGAAAGAGGGGCTCAGGGGGAAGAGGATTGTATCATGAGAGAAGCAAGAAGGTTAACTTGTTTCAAATATATAACATGGATTCTGGCAATACAATGTAGTTGGACCCTCATGTGAATCAGCCTTTCCACGGATGTAAATCTTTGTCTGCTAAACAAGAGGATAACAAGTTTCTACCCACAACTTTATTTGGCAATAAAAAAGAAAACTTTATTTGGCAATTGTTGATGGTAAAGTGCAGCAAAGAACTTGAGGCATTTGATTCAGAATTTATGGGTGGATTCTGTTATTTATCCAATAAATTGAATTTGCATCGGTGCCCCACAGCCCATCCCAGGCTGTCATGTGTTGAAAAAACATCTCCCCATGAAAAGTATGGAAAATGTTTTCAATGCACATTTATGAAATTTAATAAATTATTATCATAAAAGTGATAACCAATCAGGTGGTATAGTCGAATTATTGAAATGTTTGGCCATTGGTTAATTTCTTTTCCTTGCTATGCCATGTCTAAGAATAGGGATACAAGTGGGGAATCCAATTTGAAGAATTTACACAGCATTAGGTTTGGGCTTTCAGGTTATATCCATTCAAATTTAAACAAAGCTCCAACCCAACTCTGCCCGAATTGCACCCCTGCCCGAGAATTCACCAGTTTAATTTTTTTCAATTTACATATGGTTGATCACAGTCCAATTTTAGTTGGGTCCTCCTCAAGACAATCGAAATGGTACTCAAATCAAGATTTTCCACCTTCAAATTAACTACATTCATTTTGCTGTAAATCTTCACACTAACTACTTGATCACAATTGAGAGTGACAGGGTGGGGAGTCCCTACCACTTATCTGTCAATATGCAAATAAACAAAGAACACCAACTTTGTGATAATTTCTGTAAATTGTTAAATGTAATTATGGAATCTAATTAATGATACATAAAATATATTATGATTAAACTTGAAAACCGAATAAACACTCCATTAGCATTATTGTGGCACTTTCTTAAAACTTTTAGCTTTTTTTTTAGGAGATATGAAAATTTTAGAGCCGTCAATGGATTGGGTCTGATTTATATTAATCCCGATTTTATCATTAATTAGTTCCATAAGATAGACCTAGAACCGGATGCAATTATAAATGGAGATAATTGGGTCTGATCCAATTATCAGTTGGGATAATCGATTTGGAACAACAAGAATCAGTACTGAACCAATTATTAATAATGACATAACCATAGAATCAGAATCAAATATAAACAGTTTGGTTGGTTCAATTCTATAGGATAGACCTGACCCATTAACAGCCATGGTGGGGGAAAATCCTTAAACCTTCCTTAAAGTTGAAAAAAGCACATATACAAATATGTACGGTACAAATATATAGAAAATAATATAAAATACAAAGTTGTGTATTCTACATATTGTATTTATATCTCTTTTGAACTGAGCCTGAATTTCTAATTTCCAACAGAAACTAAACCTTACCACCAAGGTTGCATTTGACATTATTCCTTATTTTAAGAATTTATCTCTTTTTTTCTGTTAAAAATTTAGTGTTTATAGGAAAATTTTAATTATAAAAGAAATAAATTCTTAAAATAAGGAATGCCAAATACATCCTAAGTGAGGCCCACTGACCTTCCCATAAAGAATCTACAGCTATACAAATTTGATCCCATTCCTCCATATGCCAAAGAGATGTTGATTAACCATCTCATCTATTGGGTCATTGCAAAGGCTAAGTGCCCATTTGCGAGGATTTTCACACAGCAGCTTTTAGCTTTGCAAGATAAGTCCCAGACTAAAAACCTTGAAGCTATTTTTGGCGAAAAGTCCAAAATCCAAAAACATGAGCATATAAATTAGGAAATCAAATTTCTAATGAAACTATGTTTTGGTAGCTTCTGAGAAACAGCAATGCTGAAGCGAAAACCTCCCAAACGAGCATTAGGCAATGGAAATTAGCGTCATTTTAAAAATGTCAGAGGAGATTCTAACATTTATGATATGATAAACCTCAATTATCAAAACGACTTTTTCTGAAATTTTAGAAATTAGTTTTTTGGGTAAAGTTAAAAAAACTACGATACCGAAAATGCTTTAAACAATCAAAACCCCGTGAATTTTTACGACAACCTAACGTGATTGGTTACCACTTTTTATCATACGTGGTTATGATAAATTTTTCCCGAATGATATGTTTCGGCACCATAGTCGAATCTTGAATATTGATAAAAGCAAATACTTTCAGTTTTAACTAATTTCTAATTTTCATGCCAAAAAAAAGGAAAATCTATGATGCGGAAAGGAGATAATATCAGAACAATTTTGACCAATCAAAATTCATCCATGAATTTTTATAAAAAATATCTTATTGGCACATTTATGAGTTCAGTTCATTGATCAAAAATATTTCATATATCATATTTTTTCATATCATAGCCGAACTTAATTTCTAATTTCCATACACTTATCCACGTAGCAAAAAACTTACCACAGAATGTGTCAGTAAGACATTCCATCACTTACCTACTCCAAAGGAAACTCAGCGAGTGACTCGCTCCCCAACTGCTAATCCTTTTAGTTACATCGACCGACTAATCCAAGTAATTATAATCCTTTTAGACTTGGGCCCCACTTACTCTCTATCCTCCTACCTTCCTTTAATCCTCATCCCACGCCGGCTCGAGCTCTCACTCTATCACGCACGTTTTTTCACTCCTAAGATGCTACCTATATAAACACCCCACCTCCCTCTTTCCTTCCAGAGTCTTGGCCATCCAACTCACACTCATCACGCACAAACCAACATGGCACTAGTTAGAGAACGCCGGCAGCTCAGCCTCCGCCTCCCCTTACCAGATTCTGCCGACCGCCGCCCTCGCTTCCCCCTCCCCCTCCCTCCCTCCTCCCTCTCCGCCCCCACCACCACCGCCAGCACTCAAGATATCGACCGCCTCTCCGACCTCGAGAAGCTCCGGGTACTCGGCCACGGCAACGGCGGCACAGTCTACAAAGTCCGCCACAAGCGCACCTCCGCCATCTACGCCCTCAAGGTCGTCCAGGGCGACTGCGACACCACCGTCCGCCGCCAGATCTTCCGCGAAATGGAAATTCTCCGACGTACGGATTCTCCCTACGTCGTCCGATGCCACGGAGTCTTCGAGAAGCCAACCGGCGACATCGCCTTCCTCATGGAGTATATGGACGCCGGCACCCTCGAGAACGTCCTCAAATCAAGGGGAACCTTCAGCGAATCCTCGCTTTCAAGCATCGCTCGTCAAGTACTCAATGGTCTTAATTACCTGCACACACAGAAGATCGTACACCGTGACATCAAGCCGTCGAATCTGCTTGTGAACAAGAAGATGGAGGTCAAGATCGCTGACTTCGGAGTTAGCAAGATCATGTGCCGCACCCTTGACCCCTGCGTTTCCTACGTCGGTACATGTGCTTACATGAGTCCAGAACGATTCGATCCAGACACGTATGGCGCCAACTACAACGGATACGCCGCTGACATATGGAGCTTGGGGTTGACACTGGTGGAGCTCTATGTGGGTCACTTTCCGTTTCTGCCCCCAGGTCAGAGGCCCGACTGGGCGACCCTAATGTGCGCCATATGCTTTGGGGAGCCACCGAGCTTGCCGGATTCTGCGTCGGAGGATTTCAAGAGCTTTATCCGGTGTTGCTTGCAGAAGGAATCCAGCAAGAGATGGACGGTGTCGCAGCTCTTGTCTCACCCTTTTGTTACTAAAGATTGGAAATGAACGGTGATTTCAGGGATGAAGCGATCAGATCCGCCGGTGTTTTCCTTTTCCGGTGCCGGATTCTGACAACGAGAGCCTTGTACATAAGACGAGTAGACGACGAGCTCCTTTTATTTCTTAATATTTAATACAAAAATCTTTTTCTACCCCAAAATATGATCTGGTGGGCCTTAATGTGTGCAACTGATATAGTCCAACACCGTAATTTCATTCATTATTCCAATCACGAGGCAGAATTTGAGGGTATTCTGATAAAATCGATAATTACGTAACAGATGAAAGAGTAAAGACTTACTGTTTTGAACTCTCTTTAATGACCTACTTTGTACTTACTCCAAAGATTCTATTTTGCGGTTCCCTGTTGGTGGTCATTCAATGCCTGCGATGGCGGCCGCCTGCCGCTGCAGTAGATTTGATAAATTGAAGTTTGACGTCCTTCTTGAGTTTTATTGAGTCAAGGGTATTTCTGACCTTTCATTCAAGTCGGCATGACCAGAAGAGTCCAGGTGAGTCACTGATGGCCGAGACTCGAGAGTCGTGATGGCACATGCGTATGTTAGAAAATGAGGCGGTAACTTCCTTGAAACCGTCGAGCCATCATATTATACGGTGCAACTTGCACGGTTGCACCCCATGGTATTGCGGTGGAATCTGGAAGCATGGCAAAGATCTGGCCGTTTGATGAGTTGACCCTTTTATAGACCATTACTTATCTATGCTGCAGGATAAGTCCACCAATTGGACGGATAGGATAGAACGGTTTTTATGGATGTTTACATCAAAACTCAGAAACATAGTCATACACGAAGTAATGGTGACCTTTTCCAACTTTGTCTCAGTCCCAATCAAGCCTGCTGCAGATCCATGAACACTATTAACCACTTGTTATGTTATGGTTGGGCTTGAAAGGCCCACCAATTTTTTGGTAATGAAAGGCCACCAATTTTTTGGTAATGAAAGGCCCACCAAATTAAAGGCTTAGTGATAAGGATACCCTGTGCGAAAAAGACAACACATATAAGAAGTGGCAATTAACTGGGCCTAAAGAAGTCTGCTGCAGACCCATGAACACTATTAACCACTTGTTATCTTACGGTTGGGCTTGAAAGGCCCACCAATTTAAAGGCTTAGTCATAAGGATACCCTGTGCGAAAAGACAACACATAGAAGAAGAAGTGGCAATTAACTGGGCCTAAAGTACAATTCTAGCCCAGGCCTTTATTGATGTTGGGTAGGCAGACCATTGATGTTAACCAAGCCCAGAATCATCTTAACATAATCGCACCGCAAGTTAGATTCTGATGCCATTAGAATGGATTATCTCTGGCCTTGGTTTCAAGATAGGCCGGGCCTAAGATTCAGAGTCGAAAAATACAATATAACTTTGCGCATTCAGCGAATCGAACCCCGATCAGTACCGTGGGAGGGTACTATGATACCACTACACCAAATGCGCTCTATCGATCCTTTTCAAATAATATCTTACTTATTGTGGCAATCACCACAACAAATTAATGATCATCCTATATCGTCGTTCAGACGAAATGTATTTCACAACTATGAACCATTCATGTAAATCCACGTTGGTCTTTCGGTTCTCATTAGTAGGTTCAGATATGCTAAGGACTCTCAACAAGAAGACCGGGGTGGGGGGGGGGGGGGTATAAAAGACAAAGCCCAAGTGAGACAAGGTAATTCCAATGATCCTCGTGAGCGATTCAGTCTGCAACTTGATTTGCCTCTCAATACACATGACGATACATTAAGACACTGTGGAACATGTCTTTCACCCGCAACTTGAATAATGCTTTTTAGTCTCTAAGGTGGATTAATCTTCCTCTTTAAGCACAAGATGACTGCTAATTTGGAATCTCCCACGATGATGATAGAATAGTCTGAAATTCAAGGCTAAGTTATGAGTTTTCCAAACAGTCCATGCTTCTGCTTGAAGTATAACTTGGCCTTTCTTAGAACTAAGTAACTATATGCATTTTTTTATTACCCCATTTATAATTTAATACCTCTAGAGCTGGAGTTTTAGCAAATAAATTATCATTATCTTAGATATTTCTGTCACTATCACTATGTCCATAGTGTAAACCATTTCCATTAAATTATTATCTTAATTTTTGTTGTTTTAAATCATGCAAGTAAAATGTTGTATCAGTAAATTATACTTACCCTTATAATATCTCACTTTCTCTCTTTAGCCAATCAACCCCAACTGTAACAACTTGGGCTAGGCAGAGGTGGACTAATCATGACATCTGGTGCACAAATGGGGGTGTTCAACAAAAAACAAAAAAACCAAACTAAATCGAGGAAACTAAACCAAAAAAAAATCCGGTTAAATTGATGGTGAGTAATCCAGTTGGTCCTAACTGTCAACGACCTTGCCTCTGAACGGAGCTACAGGGAGCTTGAAACGGAGAAGATGAGGAAGCTCCACGGGAAACTCGGTACGAATGCTTCGAAACTCAAGTTAGAATTCTCTCAAAGGCAAGATAAAACCAAATGGCACAAAGTTCACATACATTGTTCTTGGGGGGTAGAGAGCCTTTTATAACCACCTCGTGCACTCACTTCTAAGCATCTGTCAGGTCGGGTATGATTACCTTTGGGCTCCTGCCAGTTTAGGTGTCATCCCCTCTGCTGGATAGAATCGCCACTGCTCTCTTTGTCGGAGCCGTCTCTGCGACTGGCAATGACGGTGGCAGGTGGCTGTGGCAGGTGGCCGTTGAAGTGTGGCTGTCAAGCGTCAGATCCCAAGTCAGTCAGGTGCGCCGCCCTTGGATACGGACCTCCTCAGTGTCAGGTATGGTACGTTTGTTCAGTTCGGTGTCCTGGAGGCAAAGTGCTGGAGTGGTGAGTGAGGTGAAGTCTTGAGTTCGGATAGGGGAGTGTCCCGAACTGCCATGAGGCGGGCCAATTCGGGTCTTTGCCTTGTGGGGAGTTCGAGCTCCTAGTAAGGAGTTCAGGCTCTTAGTGAGGAGTTCGGGCTCCTAGTAAGGAGTTCGGACTGCTGGTTCCTCCCTTCGATGCTCGCGCCTTGGGCGCGCTATTGTGCCAAGCTGTTTGCCTTTGTCACGTTGAGTGATTACGAGGTCGGGCCAAATCTTCCTTCATCAATTGCCCCCCACTCCTCGTGCTAAGGATCTTGCCCAGGCACGGGGAGTTCGCAAGCTGGCAGTGGATTTGTCCCGTACTTCGAATCTTGGTTGATTGATAGCACGAGAAACGCGCCGACCTGCCTACAAATGCTGACAGACGTGGCAGCGCGCTCCTTATTTCAAAAATTCAAAAAGCGCACTGCTGGGAGACGTGACAGCAGGCGTCTTTTCAAATTTGAAAACGTGCCGCTGTCTTCTTAAATGTGAGGAGACGTGCATTGGCGTTCTGTCAGTTTCAAAAAGACGTGCGTCGGCGCTCTGTCAGTTTCAGAAAGACGTACGCCAATCACGTCTCGGTCTCAAGAGACGTGCGGTCAGCGCAACTGCGGGCCGTTGGATCGGCTTTGATCTGCGTTGTTGCTTCTCGGTCACTGTGGGTATAAATAGTGGGGGACCCCAGTCGCTTTGTCACTTCTGTGCTGCCTCTTGAGCTCGTGTCCAGGTTTCAACTCGCATCCAGGCTTTCAGTTCGCGTTCAAGGTTTTTGCTCATTCAAGTTCCCGTAGTCTTGTTCAAGCTTTTTTCCGGGTGAGTACCTTCCTGGAATCCACATTCTTTCCTCGATGTCTAGCTTGGATAGCTCAGACGGTTCTTCAAGTGGGTCAGATGCAGGTTCCACAAACCGAGTTGCATCCCCTGATAGTTCTAGTGAGCCGGAGGTAGAGCTCGAAGAAGAGTTCGAACCCGTAGGTCGAGTCGCCACGGGTAGTTTGGCGTCCACCTCTTGTCGAGGACGGACGTTAGACAAGTTTGGCCCCTCGACCATGACACCTAAGGGGCTCCAATCCCTTATTACCTATTTCAATTTGCTTGGGGAGTACGCTTATTTCATACCTTCGGGTAGCTTTCCTTGGGAACATAGTCCTGATGAGATCGTGATATTCCGGGAGTAGCTCACTACGAGGCTGCGATTGCCTTTCCATCCCCTCCTTGTTGAGGTCTTGAATCACTTCGGCGTTACGGTCGGCCAGCTTCACTCGAACTCCATTCGTAATTTGGTGGGGACAATCTCCCTATTTTGCGAACAGGGCTTTCCTTTAGACTTGGAGATCTTCTCTTCCATCTTAATGCTTAAGAAGCAAGCGGGTCTCCTCCCCGGGCGTAGGCGGGCGTACTACCTGTCTCCTTGCCCGGGTTTTAAGCTTTTACATGAACTTCCTAACAAGGTCCCGGCGTGGAAGCGGACTACTTTGGGGTGCGAAGTGTGCTGGGGTGGCCGTTTAAGACCGGGTGGGGGATGGCCGCCCCTGACTCCGGTGTTACGCTTGACAAAGAGACGGTGAAGGGCCTCTGGCAATGGAGGCCAAGCTCATTGCGGCCAGCCTGAGTTCGGGTAGGTTCCTTACTTAAAGGTTCTATTTTGCTCTGTCTCTTGCTTTTTTTCTAATGCCGAACTCTTTTTTGCAGGTGTGATGGACTCAAGAAGGACTCGTGGTAGGCACTTGTTTCAAGGCAAGAAGAGGAGGAAGCGAGTCGCCAAGCGAACTCGCGTTGAACTGCCCCGAGATGCGGAGCCCGAGGTACCAGACTACCCGTCAGAGGATCCGCCTAGGGAGCCCGAGATGGCTCCTCCAATGCAAGAAGCGACAGGGAGCCCATATGCTGAGACTACTTACACGGGGGCTCCCACCTACTATGGTGCTCCTACTTACTCTAGGTCTGCTCATACGCGAGCTGGGCCCTCAGGCTCGGGGGCCCCAGGGGAATTCAGGAGTGTGCTGTCGCCGACCCACGCTCTTTAGAAGAGTAAGGAAGCTATTTTCCCCGAGGAGGTTGCGACGTGGACTGACCTCCCTCTGCACCAAGTGGCCTGCCGTGCTGTTACTCATGCCATGGTGGTAAGTCAGACTTTTTATCGAGCTCTTTTGCTTTTATCCTTCTTGTTGTCATTCTTTTGATCACTTGTTCTTTCTTTTTGGTAGGTGAACTCTTCTATCCATGCTTTGGCGGCCTAGGTGGAAAGGAGCTCGAGGTAGGCGCGAGCTGCCGAAGAGGCTCTTCGTGCAGCCGAGATGACTTCCCGAGCTGCTGAGGCGGCTACTCGTGCTGTAGAGGCCAGGCAGGCGAGGTCTCAGAGAGATGTCGGGGCCATGGGAGTCGTAGTGAAGCACATGGCGGACCTGAGGCTGGATTTGCAGCATCAGGTCGAGTACCTTCAGGAGGACATTAGGGAGAGGACGCAGATCTTTTCTCAAGGTATTGAAGATGCCAAGAAGAAGGCTGTTGATGAGTACAATGCCTCGCCGTGCTTTGACAACCTAATGGTGGACTCGTACTGAAGGGGTTTC